TTTTAAAAAGGATAGAGATATAAAAATACTGGTATAAATATAGAGGTAGATACAAAATTATAATATGAGTAAAAGAAAAATATTTGGAGCCATTCCGCAGGAAGTAAGCGAAAACATAAAAGCCTCAGAAACCGCTCCTAGTGATAAAAGAATTAGTGGAAGAACTAAACAATTAAACTTTAAAGTTAGAGAGGAATTTTATTGGAAATTGAAAAATATGGCGGTAGAGGAAAAGTGTATGATGGTGGAAGTTTTAGAAAAAAGTTTGGAGGGTTATGAGAAAGCGAGAAAAAAATAAATAAATATACAAAAAACATGCTAACCACTGCTAACCACCTAAACTACCAACAAAAAATTAATAATGGTAGTTTCTATACCCCTCCGGAATTGGTTAATTATGTTTGAGAATTAATTACTCCTTTTTTAACTAAAAACACTACCATCTTAGATACCAGTGCGGGCAAAGGAAGTTTTTTGTTAAGCACCATTTAAACATCCGCTTCTCATTTACGAGGTGAGTGAACTAATACTGAAAATAGAGATAATTATTAAAGAAAAGCAAAAAGCAATTGGCATTCAACCTATGCTCTATTTGTGTATTCCAATTAAATTAGTGGAGGAATACCCCGAAATAGTAAAATAAGTTGGCGGAAACTAAGCAAAAAGCCACTTACCTAATCACTAAAAATAATTTTCAGTTGGTTATTGAAACGATTCGAATTTTTGCTCTTTTGTCAAGGAAGCACCAAAAAGATATTGTTAATATTTTGCGGACGATTTTAATAAGTTATTCGGAGAAAGGGCGGCGATAGTGGCAAGAAAAAACAAAATAATTATCTAAATCAACTTCCCAATATCCGTTCTCCCCAAAAATCAACCTCAACTTGGATTGAAAATTATTTCGCCTATTGCGTAAATATACCATATGAGAGCCAAAAAAGCCTATCCCTATCCTAGTTATAAAAATCCGATTAGACTTTCCCCACGAGCCAAAAAGGCTCAGGAGCAATTAAAAGAATTAGCCAAAAAAATAATGACTAATGAGAAACTTTTTCAGAGAAAAGGAAGTGATTTATCACGAGCTTTCCCAAAAGGGGATAAAATACCAGCTTTGCCTTTTTGATTTGAAATGCTGAATAGCGTTGTTTATCTAAGTTGCTTATCCTCTGGCTTGTTCTCACTGGGAAATTCCTCTCTCTCTCTCTCTCTCTCTTGATTACCAGCTCATTCTCCCTTGAATCCGTTAAAATGAGCTGTGTTAACACATTCGCAACATCAGCCTTCATAGATTTTTAGCTTCGAGAGTTTTAGCTAAATCTTTACCATCGGGAGCATTTTTCCCACATTTTTTACATTTGATTGTTTTTGGTTCTGACATATGATAAATTTTATTTGTATATACCATGATTTTATGCAATTGTTAAGTCACATTTGCAATATTATGCAAAGAGCAAATTAATTCACTGTAAAATTGTATATAATTGCCAAAAAAAATTACTAAACAGGGGTTGGGCTACTACTTCGGCCTTTCTCGATATAATTTTTTATATCAAAAAACTGATTATCCTGAGCTCCACCATTTTCCTCAATATATTTGTGGAATGCGTAGCATTCGATTTCTAGGCTTTTTTTATTCCTTAATTTTCAACAAAAGTCGATTGATTTAGCCGGTTTATCTTCAAAATAATCACTTTCTTTCCTAATCATTCCTCTATCTAAGTATAAAGCGTCTTTTCCGCTACTAGCCAACTCACGAAAATCAAAAACAAATTTGAAACTTCTGATATAATCGGCTAACGTTTTCTCATAAAAATTTTGTTTCTTAGGATCTTTACTAAAAAAAGCCCAAAAATACTCATCTTTTTGAGCCTTAGTAAAAATAATCTCAAAATCAAACCCAAATTTTTCACACCATTTTCTTATTTTTTCTTTATATTCCTCGGTGTGAAGTTTCTCTCGACACTCAATTAAATTAATTTTAATAGACCTTTTTTATAATTAGTCTCGTTTTGTCTATATGCCAAAAACATATGACAGCAAAAGAAATAA